GTTCTCAAAGTGTGGTTCCTAGGGTAAGCAGGATCCGTGTGACCTGAGAACTTGATAAAAATGCAAATTCTGGGTTCCCAGTCCAGACCTGCTGACTCAGAAACTCTGGGGGTGGAGACCAGCAATCTGTGCTGAAACAAGCCCTGATATATGCTAAAATGTGAGACCCAAACAGCACTTCTGTTTTGTTTTTGGTGTTTTAGCTGCTTTACCCCAAAACTGCACATAGCTCATGTGTAAGATTTAATCAGTTTGGCCATAAACGTGCACTAGTGATACCATTACCACCATCAAGATAATAAACACATCCTTCCGTGGTCAAAATGCCCTGTGTCCCTTTATTTTGTGTGTGTGCGTGGTTAAAAATACTTAATATAAGGTCTACCCTCTTAATAGATTTTAAGTGCACAGCACATTATTATACCTGTAGGAGCTCTGTGGTGCTGCAGGGCTCTAGAGCTTACTCATCTTGTGTAACTTTATACCCACTGAAAACCTTCTCATTTCTTCATCCCCCTGTGTGCTAGCAGTCAGCATCCTGCTTTCTGTTTCTGTAAGTTTGACTGTTTTGGATGCGTCATGTAAGTGGAATTATAGTATCTGTCTTTCTGTGACTGGCTTATTTCACTATTTGTCATGATTTCTGGGTCTGTCCCTATTGCTGCATATGGTAGGATTTTGTTCTTATTTTTAAAAGCTGAATAATATTCCTCTCTGTGTGCATCACATTGTCTTTATTTATTCGTCCGCCGCTGGACACTTAGGTCGCTTCCGTATGTTGGCTACTATGAACAATGCTGCGATGAACGCGAGAGGGCAAATCTCTCTCCAAGATACTGATTTCAGTTACTTTGGATGTATATCCAGAAGTGGAATTGCCAGATCATATGGTACTTCTGTGTTAAATTTTTTGAGGAACCTCCATACTGTTTTCCAGCGTGGCTACGCCAGTTTACATTCCCACCAGTACTGCACAAGGGTTCCAGTCTCTCCCTATCCTCACCAACTTCTGTCCTCTTTTTGTAATTATAGTCGTCCTAACTAGTGTGAGGCGATATACCTCCTTGTGCTTTTGATTTGCGTTTCCCTGAATGATTCGTGATGTTGGGCACCTTTCATCTACCCATTGGCCGTTTGTATGTCTCTTTAAGTCCTTTGTCCATTTTTTAGGTGGGTTATTTGGGGTTTGGTTTTGTTCTGCTTTGCTTTGTTTTTCCTTTTGAGTTGTAGCTGTTCCTTACATAGTTTAGAAATTGACTCCCTATCAGAAATAGAGTTCTCAAACGTTTTCTCCCACTCCGTGGACTGCCACTTCTCCCTGCTGATGGTGTCCTTCACTGTGCGGGGGCGTTGTAGTCTGACGTAGGAGCGCTTGTCTGCTTTTGCTCTTTTTTGCCTGTGCTTTTTGGCTTCTGTCCATGAAATCATGACCAGGATCGTTGCCACGAAGCCTTCCCCCATGTTTTCTTCTAAGAGTTTCGCAGTTTCAGGTATTCTGTTTGTCTTTAGTCCATTTTGAATTGATTTTTGTGCATGGTGTAAGGTGGAGGTCCAGTTTCAGCCTTTCGCATGTGAATATCCAGTGCTCCCGGCACTGTTTCTTAAACATACTGCCCTTTCCCCATTGTGTGTTCCTGGTGCTCTTGGACAGTCCGTTGACCATCTATGCATGGGGTTATTTCTGGCCTCCTCTGTTTTCTATTCCATTGGTCTGTATATCTGTCTTTACACCTGTACCAAGCCTCCAGAATCATACTGTATCTTTGTAATCTATTTTTAAATCAGGACTTTTTGAGTCATTTGTATACAGTAGCACTTTTCAATTCATCTTTCTTAAAATATCACTTAAAATACTAAAAAACAGGGGCGGTTCCATGGCCAAATATGTTTAAAAATACCATGTATTTTATTTCCCTTATGGAGATTCATAGGTTATAATTTAGAAATATAACATTTTTATGTACGTGTAATGAAATTCTGAAAAGCCTTGAAGTAAAGAAACTGGGAAACCGAGACTTTCCCAACTACATGATCACTGGAAAGCTTATTCCTTTAATACCTATTGCCTTTCCCCAGACATAGTATTTCACAAACACACTTTGGGAGCAAATCAGTAGTAAAGTCTTTGTATCCAAAAAAAAGTGATACGAATCTATTATAAATATTAAATTCCACACTTACTTACACTATTCTCAATTCCCTCTTTACGTAGCTAGATAATACTCTCCTGGACTCTTGAAGACCAAGAGGAATGTCGATGTGTCTTTTTTCTCATTGACACACCCCCCTCCGGCAGTGACTGCCTGGCATCTGCCTTCACACTCTGAAGTGACAACAGTGCTATTTGCTTATAACATTTATGCATTTTTTCTGATCATAAAAATCCAGAAGCAGAGAAGTTCAGAGAAGTTAAATGGGAAAATAAAACCACTTAAAGCCTGTACCCAGGGATAACCATTATTTGTATTTTTCTGCATATGCTTCCATTACACACACACACACACACACACACACACACGTACTCTGCACACACATGCACTCATAAAGGAAACAGATACTCTTACAGGCTTAAGTGAGTTCCCTAAAATTCCTATCTTGAAGCCCCAACCCTCAATGTGGCTGTATTTGCAGATGGGGCCTTTAAACAGGGGTGCTCCCACAAAGAAGAGGCCACCGGAGGGCAGAAAGGGGACATGAACATGCAAACCCAGGAGAGAAGGGAGAGAGGCCTCAGGATAAACCAAACCTCCATCACCTTCATCTTGGACTTCCAGCTCCCAGAAAAATGAAAAAACATGTTTCCGTTAAGTCACCCTGTCTGTGGTATTTTGCCCTGGTGGCCATAGTAAACTAAGACAGGTGCATATGGTATAAAGCTAACTTTCATCATGTACTCACTGTATGCCTCTTGCTCACCTGCCAATAACAGCGGTATAATGAGTCACTCCTTTTGTCTTCTGGGTGACAACGTTTTCTAGCTCTTTCCCTTCCTCCCTGAATATTCCTCCTTCCTCTCATTTGCTGTTTTTTCTTTAAATCCCAATGTCTAAATGCTTGGAGCATCCTAAGGCTGTTTTTTAATCTCTATTTATACCCTTCAGGGGTGACCACATCCAGCCTCGGAGTTGTTTACACCATCTCTATGCAGGTGACTCTTGAATTTGTGTCTCCAGTCTGAATCCCTCTTCTAAACTCCAGGCTTACATCATATCATTCAGTCCTTACTTGCATTTTATGGACCAAAAAAGGAAGCCTCAGAGCAGTTAACTGACTTGCCCCAGGTCACAGAACTAGTCAGTGTGAGAGCTGGATCCAGTCCCAAAGTGACAGTCTGTCTCCCTGTATTATCCCCCTTCTATGGTTAAAGGACCTTGTTTCCGATTATTCGTATATGTGACCATTTTGCTATGTTAGTTTAGTCAACAAATATCTATTGAATCCTTATCAACATGCCGCATCTTGTTCTAAGTGCTGGGGATATAAAAAGAAACTAAACAGACCAAGTTCCTGCTCTGTGGAACTGACATGTCGATGGTGGAGGCAGGTACTAAAGAAGTCATCAAACAGTTACATATCAGGCAATCATGAGCACCACAAAAAATTAAAGTAGGAGGTGGGCTGTCTGGGTGGGGGTAATACTTTATAGAGGGTGCCCAGAGAAGGCCTATCTAATAATAAGGTAACATTCAAGTAAAAACCTAAAAGAATGTCAAAAGCAAGCACAAGAGACCTTGGGGAAGAGAGTTCCAGATAAAGGGGACAGGAGGACAAAGTCCCAGATGATACAGGGCCACATAGTCACCGCAGGGTACTTAGGTTCCACTTTGCGGGAGAAGGGAGGCCTGGGAGGGAGTGGAGCAGAGAAGTGGTGCCAGCTAAAACTTGGCACTTGCCACCTGCCTCTGTAGAGGACTGGATCACGTTGGCAATAGCCATCTGACTCTGCTTGGATTAAATCCCAGGCCGCTGCAGCCACTGACCTCCAACACTCCCTGAAAGGAGTTCAGGATGGAGATCAGGAATGAGGCGCTCTGTGCTCTGGGAAAGCTGGCTGATCAGCCCTACAGGTAGTTAGATATTTCCAGGAGAAGATGTTATGAGCTCAGATTCTCGCATCTCCTCATATCTAGAAAAGCACTTAATTCTTTAACGGTGACATCTCCTCATGACGAGCAGCAAGCTTCTGCCTGAATGTGTGCTTGACCGCACGTACCTGCCTTCACAGATCATGTGTAACACTGAGTTTTCCCTACCTCTTGGGAGCAACTCCTCAGAGCTATTTGAGATGTTGTCTCCCAGTCTATAGTCCTTATTTTGCCCCAAATAAAACTTAACCCACAACTCTTACATTGTGTATTTTTATTTCAGTTGACAGTGGTGTATTGGACATTTTAAAAAGGACAGTCAAGGTTTTATATTTTCAGTTATAAGGGGAAAGGGAGGAATATGGGCAACCAATTTGCAGGACATTGCAGAAAACCTGAGGAATGATGGCCGCTTGAAAAGTGGTGAGAGCATAATAGTGCTGAGAAAGGAAAAAATGCTCAGATTTGAGTCTGAAGGTAGAGTTGATAGAATTTGCTGATGGGTTAGGTGGGATGAGAGACAAGAATTGGAGGTGACTCCAAGTTATTTGTCCCTGGAGACTGGAGTCACCATTTAGTGAGAGGGGAAAGGCAGTCAAAGGATCGAGTTTGGGGGGCAAGTCATAAGACGCAATCTTTGTGCATTAAATGTTTATGTAGAGATGCCAAGGGAACAGTCTGAAGTACAGAGGCAAGATGTAGGCTGGTAAAAAAAAAAAAAAAGAAGAAAAAGGTGAAGACATCAGCCTTCGTTTGGTTGTATTAGTTTGCTGTTGCTGCTGTAACAAGTTCGGCAAATGTGGTGGCTTAAGACAGTACGGACTTCTTACTGTAAAATCCTGTAGGTGAGAAATAGGACACAGATTTCACAAGGCTAACGCTGAGATGTCAACAAGTCTGTGTTCCTTTCTGCAGGCTCTGGGGTGAATTTGCGTCCCGGACTTCCCCATCTTCCACAGGCTGCCAAACTCCTCAGCTCACGGCTGCCTTCCTCCATCTTCAAAGCTAGTGATGGTGAGTGAAGTCTTTTTTTTTTTTAATATATATATTTTACTGAAGTATAGTCAGTTTACCATGTTGTGTCAATTTCTGGTGTACAGCGTAGTGTTTCAGTCATGCATGAACATACATGTATTCATACCACTTCACTCTGACCTCCTCCTCTGCCTCCCTGTTCCCGTAAAGGTTGTTGAACAACTTCTGTGATTACACTGGGCCCATCTGGATAATCCAGACTAATCTATTTTAAAAACAGCCGATTGGTAACCTTCATTCTGTCTGCAGCTTTACTTCCTGTTTCGCCGTGTAAGGTAACACATTCCCAAGTTCCGGGAATGTGAATGAGCACCTCCTGGGGGAGTGCTGCATTATTCTGCCTATGACGTTGGTATACGAGTTACTGAATGTGATTCCCTAGCACATGAGCTAGCTGAGGAAGAAAAGCTGTCCAGTGCTTGAGGTTGGGAGATAAGGTAGGACCAGCAAGGAAGACTGAGTAGGGGAAGGAGTGAAAATAAGGAAAAGGGGTTGGAGTCCCAGAAGCAAGTGGAGAAAATCTTTCAAAGAAGAGGGAATGACTGCCGTACTAGTGCGCCATAGAGCCAGTAAGCCCGGGCGGACAAGGGACCGCTGGGTCTGGCATGTGCAAGTCATCGGTGACTTGACAGAGGGCGCTTGAGTGGTGAGTTTTGTGTCTGTTTACCGCCTTGCTCGCCAACACCATTCATAGGATCAGCTTCCGAATCACCTGAAAGCAGTAAAGTTGTTAATTCCTTAGAACCAGTGTCTTCCATCTTTAAAGACCCTTATTTCCACCATCCTATTTTTCTTTTCCTCTTCCAGCAAAACTTCTTTTTGTTATTGAAGTATAGTTGGTTTACAGTATTGTGTGAATTTCTGGTGTATAGCATAGTAATTCAGTTATATATTCCTTTTTGTATTATTTTTCATTATAGGTTATTACAAGGTGTTGACTATAGTCCTCTGTGCTACACAGTAGGACCTTGTGGTTTATTTATTTTATGTATAGTAGCCAGCAAAACTTCTTCATAACATTATCTTTGCTTCCTGGCTTCTCATTCTCTCCTGCACCCATTTCAGTAAAGCTTTTGTCCCCAACTCTCCACCAAAACAAGTTTCTAAGAGTGGCAGATGGCTACGTGTGCTAGGGTGTTACTAAGAAGCATGCTGTGGCAAATACAAATCAGGCTGTGCCTAAGGTGGAAAAGCCAGGTTGTAAAGGACACTGATTTGTCCTCTTGTAACATCACAAGGTGGGAAGTTTTATCCCAACTGAGGAATGGAAAGCGACAGAAATGTGACTCTGAGGCTTTTGCATTTCTAATGACATCTTCTGCTTCATAGCTTTTTATCCCCATTGTCTTGCTTGTTAAAATTGTGCTGAAGGAGGGAGCCAGATACTCTGAAGGCAGGGGAGTTAGAAAGGCACAACCGCTTCTCTGTGATTAACTTGGAAGGAGTGGGGAAGGACACTCCTGCTGGAGTAGCTTTAATTATTGACTGCCGAGATGTAAGCAAGCTGGGGAGAGCTTTGATGCCAAGAGCCTAAGTCCTGGACCATGTGCCAGACTCCCTGCATCTGAATTCCAGTGTGTGCTGTGGTCTGTCTGGCTGCATTCTGTTTGTTACATTCAAAATACATTTCAAATGCTCAGAAGAAAAACTCATGGCAAAGCTTTTTCAGTGACATTGCTACTGCAATATTTACATTAAGTGCTTTACAATGTACTAAGGAATTTCATGAATCTAAGGAGCAGAAAAAATCACCTATTTTGTTAATTGATGTCTAGTTGACTTATAATATTATATTAGTTTTAGATGTATAACCTAGTGATGATATTTTTGTAGATTATAGTCCATATAAAGTGATTATAACATTCTGGCTATATTCCCTACACTGTACATTGCTTCTTTGTAACTTATTTAGTTTATACATGGTAGTTTGTATCTCAGTCCCTTTTAGCTGTTTTGCCCTACCCCACCCTTCTGTCTATAACCAGTATTTTAATGCCCATTTAGAGATAAAGAGACAGAGTTTTTGCCCAAGATTTCATAGCTATCAAGTGATTACCTTGGACAGGTTCACAAAGCTTCTCTGAAGCTTGAAACTAAAATTGAAAAGAGAAACAGTAATTGTTTACCTACCTAATTCAGTAGCATAAAGCTTAGGAAACAAGATGAGATGACATTGAACCTGCTACTAGAGAAAAATAATTAACAGTAATTTAAATGGGAGACTATGGCAGCCATAGATTGGTTTGGAACCGAAAAACACATTCTCTGACTGGAGAGAGTCGTCATATAGGATAACATTGGATATACGCCTGGCTACCATATTTTCATTCTTGTCTTTCAGTAAGGAAAGTCAGAAGACCTTGGCCCATTACTTCACACTATATTAAGAAAAATACTTCAAATTCACAGACTCAAAAGTAAGGGAAAGCCATAGCATTTCTAGAAGAACAAAATAGAAAAATCTTTGTAACTTTAGGTTAGGTGAAGTTTTTTTTTTTCATTATGTTAGGACCAAAAAGTATAAATCCTGAAGAAAAATAGTTAAAACTTCTAATCTTAAAACATTGAACATATAAACCACACACTGATAGAAAACACTGGCAAAATACCTATTTGGTAAAGAAACTGTATCTAGACTAAATAAGAAATTCCTAATCTCAATAAAAGGACAAAGAACCCAATAAAAATGTCAAAAGATTTGAATGAACACTTTCCCAAAAGAGATATATGAGTTGGAAATGAATCCATGCAAAGAACTTGAATATCATTAGTTATTAGGGAGATGCAAATTAAAATTATCCTACAGTGGAATACCACTGTATGATATGGAGTAAATGGAATTTTCATCCATTGTTGATAGAAATGCAAGATAGTACAATAACTTTGGAATAGAGTTTGGTAGTTCCTTATAAAGTGAAACATACATGACACATGACTCCTAGATACTTGCCCAAGAGGAATGAAAGCACATGTCTACAAGATAACCTGTATGTTAATGTTTATAGTATCTTTATTCATAATGGCCCCAACTTAGGAAAAGTAACAAAGGCCCCTCAACTAGAAACTAAGTGGCTTAATAAACTGTGGTACGTCTGTAGAACAGAATATTACTCAGCAATGAAAAGGAAGAAGCTACTGTACATTCAACAATATACTGAAAGAGCCAAAACTATAGTGACCAAAACCAGATCAGGGTTGCCAGAGGTCTGCAGAGGGGTACCAGGGAACTTTTTCAGGTGAAGAAAATGTTCTATATTTTAATTGTAGTGGTGGTTACATGACTATACATTTTTGCCAGAACTCATCAAACTGTACACTTTTCAAATCAATCAAAAGGATGATTTTGGATGGATGTAAATCCCATAGACCTAACTTCAGTGAGCCAGAGGGAAGACAGAATTTAAAGTAGAGGAAGCTAAACTCAGGGAGAAAAAAAAATAGATAGTTTCCAGCTAACATAAACAAAGGATAAGTATTTTTTAAGGAATTTTCCAAATGGCCGTCCATGAATTTGTCATCTTTTTGGTCAGCACTGTATTGACTCACACTATGTATAAGTGAATGTTTTTAACAATTTGCCAACACCTAAAACACACAGATTTCACATAAAAATCCACATTTTTTTTTTCACTTTTTGTAAAAGTGGTCTGGAGGTTTGGCCCCAGTGAAGTAAGATTCCTATATGGCAAAACCTAGCTGAGTGGAGGGGTGAGGGGCGGCGGGGGGCTTGCTTCTCTCCCTTGCTCGTCTGGTGCCTACAGGCATTTCTATGTGGCTCTAAGTCCTGAACAGGGCAACTAATGCAGGTCTCCAGAGGCCACCCTGTTGAGTTAGTGGAGGTAGAAGATTCGGCAGGATAAAGTGCCAAGCCTTTACACCACCGAGATTCTTGAATGTGAATTTTCATTTTTAAAAATTTATCCTGGTTATAAAGTGCTCAGCTGTACTTAAATAGTCATTCTTATTTAAAACATGTTTCGAATGGTATTTTAATGTTAGTGAGGCTTAATCTGTGTCAATGCTGATATTTTAAGAATTAATATGGGGGAAGGGGAAAACTTTTCCAGGATATCAATGTTTAGAGGAATTCTAGCTGTAGAAAAAAAAAAATTGCCCTCATTGGGAAATCCACTTCCTCAAAGTACCCAAAGGGGAATCCCAGACAGACCTAAGGCCTAAGAATATTTTAGCAGAATTGAGTGTATACCTTGCAAAGTCAATTATTTTTCAGTGATATTTTAAGACCCAAGTAGGAATCACAATCAGAAAGGAATATTTAGTTTAAAGCTAACTGATAACTAGTAACCATTGAAAGATGTGTGAGATAGAAAATTTTATCTAGCTTTTTCCCCTTTTTTTCTTCATATCTTTATAATAAAAATTATCCTCTTTACCGGTTACAGTTTGTTAAGGTTTGGATGTTTTAATCCAGACATGTGTTGACGATGTTAATATAACAGAAAGGCCAACCTTAGTCACCTTGTAGTGACTAATCCTAGGGAAAGTTTCTAACAGATGGAAAAAATCACTTTAAGGAAAGACAGCTCCCTTCCCTCAACCCATGTCATGATAGAGAATATTTTGCTGCAGGGCTGGAATGGTCTTTTGTGGATTGGAAGTTTGAGGGTTACTCCTACTTTTCTTTACCTTGACTCCAAGCATGCCAATGGCTATTGTCACATAACTCTGTAATAACCAGGGGACCATGTACAAAAAGGAAGAATGTTTCAGGGGAGGCATAAAGATTCTGGACGAATTTGATTCCGGAATCTAGTGTTTAATGTTAGGACTCTTCTTATAGCGGAAAAAAAAAAAGCTTGTGGTCTTTGGTCTCAGCCTCATGTCATGGACCCAAGTGATCAAATAAACTCTGGGAAGATTTAATGTAAGGAAAGATCAGCCTACTAATGCAAACTCTGCCTTCTGGTGCAAAGCCTGCTGCTTGCTGCAGAGACACTCTGCACCCTGTGAGTATCGTG